TAAAGATAAGATATTTCGAAATCTTTCCTCTTTTTTTAAGAGAGATCCATCATTATAATGATTTCTATATTATTTTGAAAAATTTATAAAATAATCTAAATTGAAAATCTTAATCTTGAAATGATTTCTTCTCGATAAAATAAACCAATATTTCAGATGTCAAGAATAAAGAAGATTAATTCAAGAATTAGTCTATATTTTCTATTCATCATTAATATTTAAAATCTTCCTCAAATTCCGATGAAAAAAATCAGAAAATATTTATGAAATTACAAGAATCATCCTTGGGATTAGATCTTTGATTGAAATTGATATGGATTCATCTATACGTTCTAGGACGACGAAAAATAGAAGCCGAAATTCTGATGATCATTTATTTTCATATTCTATGAATTGTGTCAGGTGTATTTTGTAAACCCCTGGCAGTTGCTTTGCAGCTGGCTGGGTCTTAAAGGAGAAACAGGTAAGGGGTGATGCGAAAGGTAGCTAGATTGCTCAGCCGCGCTTGGCGTGTGCAGTGCTTGAGCAAGCTCTCGAAGGTTCTAATTCTGAGCAGTGGCATTTGCCAGTGTTTCGAAAGCTCCGAGGGACCTTTCAATGTTCCCTCCGCCGAGAGAGAGTCGTGTAACAACAGACACACATGCTGTAAAAAAGTATACACCAACCGCCTTCTGAAAGGTCGGGTTCAAAGGAATGTAGAGGAGCCTGGTTTGATAGTCTCCTCCGTTGGACATCCTTGTGATCATTTGATCGATCAAGTCGCGTTGATGTATGAGGTCCGGCCTCTCACCGTAGACGTAGGTCGACTCCTTCAAGCGTTGCAAGGTTTGGATGTGCCGGAGCTGGCTATAGTGCACCTCTGTGGCTTGGTATAGGCACAGTAATGTGCAGCCACACATCAGCACAAGAAAGTACAGCGCCATCACGTTTGGAGGATTGTTGAGGATAGCAATCTGGACGGTAGAGTCTGTCATCAACCAAAAGGCAAAACCAACGTACCCAAGCACAACCTTCTCGTATCTGGCAAGGATGTTCTTGACATCGCTATGAAGGATCGAATCTCTTGCTAGCTTCCACACATGCACGTGGCAGGTGGACGTGTTGCCTGCCCTGGCCCACCATGCAAGGATTGCGTCCAGGATGTGCATGGGATGTGTAGCCTGCTGCAGGCCCGTCAGCGTCTTGGAAACATTGATTGCCCACATGCCTCCACACATCCCGAGGATTAAGGCTTTGGAAGCAGCTGCCACGACCACTCCAATCTCATTGTAGCGCACACTCAACCTCAGGGCTCCCATGCAGCTATGTATGGCTACGTCTCTTACTGCAATATCAAACATGGCCTAACCTAAGAATGCCCCCCTTCGACAAGCCCACATTTGATGTGATACCCAGAGGGTGGTCCGTGAGATCAGAAGGTAGTCGGTTGCATCGCACCATGGACTGGGCTTTGCCGTAGAATTGGTTGCCGTGCACCGGTACTGTACAACACGTTCTATGTCTTCCCCATAGTAGAGCCAGGCATAGATCCAGGCATAGGAGTCTCCTTGGGGTGTGAATGTGAAAAGGTAGAACCACATCAGCCCCAGGAAGAAGCCAATGACGATGGGACCAATTCCTACACAATGGCCCCCTTGTGTTCTCGACCGGACTAGTGCACCATTCTTGATACCCTTGAGGTAAGTGCAAAATTTGTACTCTTCCATGATTTCAATGGGCTTGCGCTGGCCACTCCATGTCTTGACTGAATTCTCAATCTGGTCCAGCCGTTTCAACAATGGATCCTCTCCTGCTGGAATTGTGCCGGCTCTCATTCGCAACCTTACGTTGGCTCTTTCACACATAAGAGCATCTTGAGCATAGAACAACGTAGTCTCGTGCTTCTGCCAGTGCTCAAAGGCCAACGCATTTTTGAAGATGTCTTCCACATCCTGCTGAAATGTCTCACAAAAGTCCCAAGGACTTTCTTCACTTGCCTCGTCCTCAGACGTAGAATCTGGCTCAGCTTTCTCGTCCCCCTCCCCTGTCTGACAGGCACGAACCAAAGCGGCCGCACTCTGTCCAACACGAAGACAAAACAGCTTACAAAGACAAAACGGCTTTAACACGAACTTGTCGAGAACCGAGTGGGTGTTGAGCTGCTTCTCCCGGCTCCTCACAGTAAACTTAGGGATTTGGGAACGAGTAGCTGAGTAGCCCTCAGCACACCCCAAAACCCTAAACACCAAACCCCGAAACCCTCCCCATCCTAAACTCAGGCTTGCTGCGGGTGCTGCGGTGAGCAGAAGCGAGCGTGCTGGGGAGTCAACCAGGCCGGCTCCGCGCAGCGAAGGAAACATATCAGTACCCGAAACCTTGACCCACCAACGGCCTAGGATTTAAGGTTCCAGGGTCGTTGCTTAGGAGAGCGACCAATAAACTTCTAAGCACGACGAATGTCAGAGACTGGTCGGAGGAGGAGGAGGAGGAAGGGCGCAGGAAAACAGCTAGGCCATAGGGTAAGTCACCGTCTTCAAAGCAAACACTGCGCGGCAGGAGACAAACCCGGCAGGGACCACACGATGACCTTGGCCAACACGGGAATCCCAGAGGGTGAATTGAAACACAAAGCAGGGCCAAAATGACACTGAATGAGGCACCAGGCCCGCACACCGAGAATTGAGGTTTTGGGAGGCCAGGGTACAGTGGCACCCAGGAAAAAGGCAGCCACGCGCAAGAGTATCGCACAAGCTACGAGCAGGCAACTTGCGCAACGCCAGAACGATGGAACCGCAACAGCGAAAGGAAGCCGCAAAACAGGAACCACCCCCATCCTTTGCAGTGAAGGCACCGGAAGTGCTGATGCAAGAGTTGAAACTACTACACGAACGACATGCCCCTGTCTCTCTGGCAAAAGCGAGAGCACGGAATCTACCACAGAAGGAAGGCCAAGGCAGAAAAGGGAGGCCAGGGCACAGCAGCACCCCCCGCCCTCTCGGGCGCCCCCCGAGGTGCCCAGGGGGCGCTGAGGGCAAGGGAGCGCCTGCGACGCACTCGCGGCAGGCGCAGGTCGAGATCGGGGAGCAGAGGCCGTGACCCCTAAACCCCTAAACCCCTAAACCCCTAAACCCCTAAACCCCTAAACCCCTAAACCCCTAAACACCTAAACCCCTAAACCCCTAAACCCCTAAACCCCTAAACCCTAAAGTCCTAAAGCTTGCTTGTTCCCAAGCATCTGCTGCATCTGCTTCCGCACCAGCGCCTTCAACTTCACAGCGGCAGCAAGGACCGGATCCATGATCATCTCCTTCTGAAGGGTTTAGGGCTTAGGGTTTAGGGTTTAGGGTTTAGGGGTTAGGGGTTAGGGGTTAGGGTTTAGGGCTCAGGGGGACTTACGGGGACCTGCTTGTGGAGTTTGGGGTTCGGGGTCTAAAGATTGAGGGTTTTGTGGTATATAAGACTTAGCTATGAGACGTTGTGAGACCCACATGAAGCCAAATGCATAACACAAATCCTTTCAGTCGATCCTGCTCATTTTTGGCACGCCAGCCAACAGTTCCCTGATCCATCAACGCCGCGGAGTAGAAAGTGTACAAGCCAAAAAGGATGATCGTCCAACCTTAGCACGATTTCGGGTTCAGATGTAGTGCTGAGTCCTTCTTGAGAGTTTTGGCAGTAAGAAAATAGTTCAAGAACCTTAGAAGAAAAGGCAGTTTTCCAATATCTCCATGAACTGGGCTCCAACAAACCTGCGGGTTGGCAGTAGTCCATGTGACCAGCCCAGTCGCCATAACGGACACAAGCATTCGAGATGTCCTTCCCATGGGACGTGGACACCAGCCGGATGCCAATGGAGTTGAAGAAACACAGCGTCACCAGTATGAACCAAGCAAGAAGGTGCCGATCCGTGTAGCGTGCTCGGGTGCAATCAAGGAAGTAGCAGAAGGCGGAAGAGTCGCGGTCAGGAGATGACGGGCACCGTGCTCTTATGCCGCGGCCCTTGTAGTAAGCGAAAGCACATGTGATGATGAACGTGCCATACCAGCCTACACTCCAAGTCCATGGACTGAACCCCGCGATTGCGGGGCAGTATTTCCTTCCTGTAAAGAAATCTTCTGCCACATTGCCCCAAACGCAAGAGGGCTTCCCTTTGCTGTCCAATACCGCGGCCGTTTCGAAATTGAGAACAACAGACTCTCCCAGGATTGTTAGCAGCATCGAGGGCAAAAAGATGAACGCACTAAAGTTCGTCTTCGCTGCGAAGCGGAGGGACACAAGGCTGTCTCCTGGCAGCTCGTGACGTTTCAAGCGATCGACCACATTCTTCCCAAGCTTGGGCCACACATCATCAGGATTCGTTCTCTCAGCTCCACGGGCGGCATCGGTCCTTGTCTTGTGCTGAGATGCGACTGAGAATAGAAACAGATCGCATATAAACAAATAAAAAATATATTTCTATATACATATATACATTATATATATATATATATATGTATTATATATATAATATATGCATACATATATATATACAAGTAATTTGATGGGAGTTACACTGTATGATATTGCTGCGGCCAAGCATCCTCCCTGACACCGGCGACTTGCCGGGCGCTTCTTCAACATCTGGTTGACCTAGAAAGCAATTTCACCTATTTAGGGTTTAGGGTTTAGGGTTTAGGGTTTAGGGTTTAGGGTTTAGGGTTTAGGGTTTGGGGTTCCATCGAGGCGCTGACATCCTGCGCGTGGTGCACACGTTTCATGAAAGTACGCGCTTCGCAGCAGATAAGTCTATGCTTGAACCGAACACCCCGACATCCGAAATCCGAAAACCCTACACCGGTGCCCGCCTGGTAGGTGTGACATTGCACGGGGTAGAAGCCCAGGGTAGAACTGTACACCCCAAAACCAAGCCCTAAACCCTCAAGGGTTTCTAGGGCAAAACGGCTACGAGGCACAGCTGGCATGTGTGCGTACATCTCAAGGGTACACAGACATGTTCTCGGTTGATACGTGATCGGACCGTTTTGTACTGGCACAGCCAAAGTAAGCACTACGTAGATTGAACTTCGCTAGCCACAGAGTAGTCTGGAAGCCTGTGCAGAAACGGAGATTCAAAAGTCTCATCTGGCAAGCCAAAACCCCTTCGGGGATTCTTGGCCCGTACCGTCGCTTGGAGAGCTGCTTCGGATGGGTAGGAACGGCTGTGAACAGCTAGGGCTGCAAAGCCTCCCGAGGCCCAATGCCTGACCTACCTACATACCAGATCGTGATAACCCAGCCCCCTAAACCGTAAACCCCATACCCTGAACCCCATTCCCTCTGCAGCTTTCTGTCTTCGACGTAGCTGTGCAATCACTTGAGAAGCTCAGCCGACGAAACGGTCCCGAGAACGGGAAGATCTTTCAGAGCTGCTCGGGCGCGGTGAACATTAGCATGGGAGACTCGGAACAAGTCGGAGACGTCACTGCCGTTTTCGGCTGCAAGGATCGCCTTTCCGCCTGGGTGGTGGGCCTGAAACTTCCCAACGTAGTAGATACGTCCTTCGACAACGAGGACGCAGTGCTCTGGGCCCAGCGCCCGCGCCATCGCCTTCACGGCCGCAGGTTCCAGCTGCATGGCCGGAGCATGATGGAAGTCCGACGGCGAATGGCTTTCGGGTACCGAAGCCATGGCTCTTGCCGTGGCAGATGTCGATGAACCAGTGGCAATGAGGGGAACCTCGTGCGCTGGCCAGGGCAGGTCGGGCCCTGTGTCACCTGGGAAAAACAGCACGGCATCGGTGCGCCTGGCATAGCTCGGATGCTTCAGGTCCACAGGGTTGCAAAGATTCGAGAGTCCGCCGCTGGGGCCCTTCTCGTACTTAGAGAAGGGCAAGGGCTCCTGAAAGTTGAGGTGGTTGAAATAGGCAAGCCGCGTCTCGGAGGGGAGTGCGTCCTCAACGCGCAGCGCAAAGTCTGCGCGAGTCTTCATGGCCAGAGCGATGGTCATCGCCTCGGCCTTCGCATAGATGGAGACCACCGCTGCGATGAGAAGATTGGTGATGGGGATCATGGACACCCACAGAGCACTCAGGAAGAGTGCCTTTACGACAGCCTCAAAGGAGCCGGTGTAGAAAGTCAGGTCAGAGTCCTCGCCTACCCCCAAAGCCAAGGCAAACAGAGAATAGGCGCTCTTGAAGTTAAAGGCATCATGAGAGCTCATGGTGCTGCTGGTCAGCTTGTCCAGGGCAGCTCCTACTGCAATCAGCCATAACAAGAGACCCATCATGAACCGCGCGGCATCCTGAAGCATTGCCTTGCCCAGCAAAACAACTGCAGCCAGCTTGCTGTGTAACTTGAACATCTCTGCAAGTTGGATCCACTGGAGGAAAGCCACGAACGCATAGAGTATGCGCGATACTCCCTCCCCTACTGCCGGACAGTTCTCGGTAGCTCCCTCGAAGCAGGGCTTCAGCATCTGCCAGATCAACATGAGGGACAAGATGCAGCATACAAATCGTAGCTGTACAAAAAACAGGCACACGCTCTGAGGGATGTGTAGGGTAATAAGCCTCAGGTCTACCACTTGCATGCGCTGACTACACGTCTCCCAGATAGCCATGTGGCATATCCGCAGGATGTGGTAGGCTGTGATCACTCCCCACAAGGCACAAGCGCCGATGCCAGTGTGCATATTCATGCCCTGGGACACCCCAACCACGAGGTAGGAAATGAGACAGAGAATCTGTTGCAGTGCAACGCTTATGAGCTTCCTCCGCCCAAAGCGACGCCACTTGAGGTCAACGGCTGTTGAGATCACCGGGTGGTTGAAGACCTCGATGTGCGACTCTGGCAACCGTTGCACCAGCGTGCCCAGCGGCCCCTCAAACACTCTGGATACGAGGCTGGGGTTTCCGTAGATGTGCTCCAACCACATGTTCACCCTCCGACAGCCATCAGATGTCTCTCGGCTGACCCATAGGTGTCCATCCAGAAACGGCTCCAAGAGTTGTGGCGCATACTCGATTAAGGCATCCAGAATCACGGGACATCGCTTCCACAGCTCGTCAACACCATAGTAGAAGCAGGTCCTGTCAGCTCGAAGCGTCAAGATGTCACTCAGCAGAATCTCCAAAATCTCCGTGTGCCCATCCCTGAGTGCCCAGAGGAGGGGCGACAGCTGCTGCTTGCCTGCAGAAACCTGGGGATTTACGAAAATAGGGGACCTCTAAAAACCTCTAAAATATAGAGACCCCCCAAATAGTAATTAGATAACAAGGACCCCAGAAAGGCACCCCCAAATATCGTAAACCCCCACCTGAAGCGCGCTGCTGGCACGCTCGCTACGCGGAGCTTTGGCCAGCGCCTCTTTGACCCTTCGGCTCGAGGCACGGACCAGGGCGCTGCAAAGACTCGTCCGGGAGCTGTCAATGATCTCCTTGGTAGCCCAGTAACCAAGCCCTAATAAGGGCAGCCTTTTTTGGGTTGGCTACTTTAAAAGGGGAAACCATAACAAAAAAAGGGTAAAGGGTACCACAGGGCTACCAAGTCTCAATGAAGCTCTGGGAGGCCATGTTGTGTAGGATGGACCAGGAAGAGCGAGAGTCCTCACTCCAATCCTTCCCAGCTTCTCTGGAAGCCTCCGCAAGTACGTCCAACAGTGCCTCGCCCCAGGCCTCAAAGTGCCAGGGCTGCAAGTCAAACTTGCAGTGCATGACAGCCGTTCGCTCCAGTGCTTGCTGAACCTCACTGTCTCTAGTGCAGGCCACGAGCAGCTCGATGGCTTTGGCAAAGGCGGCTGCCATAGCCTCGTCACGCTTCCGGAACATTCCGCGGAAGGCCTGCTGCTGGAACAGCTTGCCGTGCAACTGCCGGGCCAAGCTCATTGAAAACTGGGGACTGCTGGACAGACCGCGCCAGGAGCTCTCCACGGAGTGCCGCACGTGCTTCCACTTCACCATGACATCCAGGAAAGTCCTCTCCACGACGCCCCAGAGCCAAAGCCACGCCATCTGGACCTCGCCCTCCCAAGTCTTCAGGAAAGCATTGAGCAGCTCAAACAGGCAACGTCTGAAGATCCGCAGGTGCTCCGGAGCGACCCCAAGTTCCACGTGGCGCTGCGCAAGGCGGAAGAGTTGACGCTCCAACTCGGACGGCTGGGTGGCGGTAGACACGATCAGATCCAGAGCGAGGCCCAACTTTGCGCCGTGCTGGTCAGTGAACGTAAAAGTCAAGTCCCCCTGATGCAGTTGCAAGCGCATCTTCTGCCCAAGCATGGTGCCGAGGGCGGTTACAGAGGAGCCATGGGATCCATGCGCAACCACTCCGCCTTCAGCCTCGCCAAGTTCCGCGGAGATGGTGAGGTGTGCCTTCGTCGCCTTTGAGGCGAGGGTTTTCCGGCTGCTCTTCTTGGTCCAGGTCGTGCTGTTGGAGGCGACCGACCTGGATGACATAAGCTCGGTCTTCGACCTGACATCTTGCAAAACCTCGGACCACGTGGAGCGGATCAGCTCTATCTTGGGCTTGAGCCGCTCCAGGTGCGTGAACAGCTCTTCGCTGAAGCTGTCGAAGACCCACGCCCAACTTTCCTCCAGTCGAGCATCCCAAATACCGCCAGCACGTAGCAAGCACTGCGACAAGGCGTACAGGAAGCTCTTCCTGAATTCACTTCGGTGATGGCGGGCTGCTCCATAATCCACGTGACGTAGAGCCAGTTTCTGAAGCTCCTGCGACAACACGCCCTTTGTAGGCAAGGCAAGCAGGCGATGCATCTCAAGCGGTATTCGTCCAAAGACGCTGGCCAGCCTGCTCGCGGGAAAGTTCTGACGAAGCTACCCGACCCGCCCCGAATCCTAAACCCAAAGCATCCCAGAGCCCGAACCTGTTCATGTCGGTGGAGCTGAAAATGGCATGAAACTGCTTCTTGTCTGGGGATCTCTGCAGAAGATCGGCGTACATCAACTTTCCAAAAAGGGAGACCTCTGTCCTTCGGAAGAGGTTGCAAGACTCTGTGATGCGTGGCAGAACTTGGTTCTTCTGTTCAGCCTCAGCCGCTGACCAGTCAGCTGGTGAATTTTCAGCATTCTGAACATCATGCTCGCCCCCTCCTTCGGGAACATGGGGGTTGCCAGCAGACTGCTCCGAGACACCAGCCAGCGCCAGAAAGGGACAAGCATCTGTAGGGAGCTGATCTGAAGTTTTCTGTTTGTGCAACCAAGGGATCTCTTCTATCGGCGGAGATTCCGCTTGATGTGGCAGTGGTACCTCAGTCGGCCTGTCTGCTTCGTGGATCTGGATCCGAAAACCTGTCTGCACTTCGCCCGCCCGCCGCAAGCCATCAGGCATGCTCCGCGTGGCTCGTGGGTTGCGGCTTGGGTTTAGGACTTTAGGAGCTCAAGGTTGAATAGGGTTGCTGTTGATTCGTAAGGTGCTGGTGCGGCACGTTCGGGCACAGGTTCTGGACTTGAGGTTCGGGGCTTTTCAGCTGCAAGGCTTCCGTACTGTGCGATTCGTCTTGCCTCTAAATCGTTCGGACTAAAGTTGGAACGTCAACCGAAAAGCCCTACCCCGTCCTTGAGAAGCTTTCGACGGTTGAGGATTTCACCAGGCTCTATAGTGGAGACAGCTAGCTGTGCTGTACTAAGCCTATAAAGATTTTGGTAAGCCGCTCCTTCAAAAAGTAGCAGTGCACTCGGAGGAGCAGTCGGAGTAGCAGTTGCACTGGCAGCTGCAGTCGCTTTCGCAGGCGCAGTAGCAGTAGCAGTAGCAGAAGCAGAAGCAGAAGCAGAAGCAGTAGCAGTAACAGTAGCAGTAGCAGGAGTAGCAGTAGTAGTAGTAGTAGTAGTAGTAGTAGTAGTAGTAGCAGTAGCAGTAGCAGTAGCAGTAGCAGTAGCAGTAGAAGAAGTAGTAGTAGTAGGAGGAGGAGTAAGAGTAAGAGTAAGAGTAAGAGTAAGAGTAAGAGTAAGAGTAAGAGTAAGAGTAAGAGTAAGAGTAAGAGTAAGAGTAAGAGTAAAAGTAGGAGTCAGAGTCAGAGTAAGAGTCAGAGTAAGAGTAAGAGCAAAAGTAGACAGAGTAAAAGTAGTAAGAGTAAAAGTAGTAAGAGTAAAAGTACTAAGAGTAAAAGTAGTAAGAGTTTAAGTAGTAAGATAAAAGGAGTAAGAGCAAGAGTAAGATAAAAGGAGGAAGAGTAGGAGCAAGAGTAGGACTAAGAGTAAGAGTATGAGTAATTAAGAGTCAGAGACAAAGTAGTCGTCGTCGTCGGCGTCGTCGCCGTAGTCGTGGTCGAAGTCGTAGTCGAAGCTGATGTCGTCATCGTAGTGGTAGTGGTAGTGGCGGTAGTGGCGGTAGTGGCAGTAGAAGTCATAATCAGCGTAATCGTGATCGTAGAAGTAGCAGCAGCAGTAATGGCAGTATTTGTAGCCATGGTAGTAGTCGTCATTGTACTCAGGACAACAGCACCGGTACTGGTACTAGTACTCGTAGTCATCGTTGTCGTCAGCAGGAGCAGGAGCAGCAGCAGCAGCCGGGGCATCGCTGAAGCGATGTGGACAGGCAATGGCGATTATGACTGCGGCCACAAGTACTCTCACTACTAGAACGAAGCAAGGCTTCCGAGAGTGGTGTGCAGAATTCAAAGTGCACCCCTTCCCTTCCCTGCCAAACGTCAACCCCTGGACTCACCAAAGCACGCATAGTTGGTGGCGGGGCGGGGAGGGGAAACTTCCGAGCCTGAGTGCGCATGGCACGTTTCCTTTTTCTGCACATCGTTCACGCAGCTGGCTCGGAAAGGCGATGGGGCTCGCCAGCCAGGCCTTCGTGGCCCGAAATACAATAAACTACAAAGAGTATACAGATACTTTTCTCTGACCACATGGTACCAAGCGGCACCGCCGCTGCACCGCACCTTTTATCTCGCGCTGCCTACAACAAACGCAAATCATTTTGAAGTCTCTGGTTCCCCTATCATTGTAGTGCTCAAGGTTGCTCTGTGGCCTGCGGAAAAATCGAAGGAAGACAGGGTGAAAGTTGGTGCATACTGGCAAGCTACATCATTGTGAGAGGAATCGAAGGAAGATGCCCGACTCAGAAACTCAGAAGTGCTGACAAGTCATATCTTCTTGAGCATCCTCATCCAGATTTTTGTGTTGCATCCTGGCCGGAGCAGTGGCTTGAGCTTGCACTGTGTCTTGTACAGATGTGCATGGCAACAGACTTGATGGTCCGGCGGTCCGGTATTTCCCGAAACAGGGGTAGCCCGAAATTATTTACCCCCCCCCAAACTACTTCATCAGTTTCGGAAACCCCCAAAATCCCGAAAGGTGGGACCAGCCTTGCGCTGCTTCGGAATCGATCAGCGTGGTCACCAGGGAGCTGCGCCAATTCGCAGTTTGGATTGATGCCCCCGAGCCGGTCCAGTCATTTGTGGCGGAAGCATCAGGTACTCTTCCCAAGGAAGCTTGGATTGGGCAGCAGAGAATGCGGCGCAGTAGGTTCCTTCCAGCGCATCAGGTTGATCTACCGGCTGCTGCAGAGAAAGGCCTGGCCATGCGATGTGGCGCTGTATATGGGTGCTTCCGAAATTATGGGGCCTCATCTATACCCCCAATATATTAGAGTCTCTGCTCTCGGAACCCCACCCTCAAACGGAGTGCTCAACCCTATCTTGGGGCTAGAAGAAAAACCACTGTGTGTTGCGGCTCCGGGCCACGCAACCATGTCTCACCAATCCCTTCAATCTTGCTGTGCCTTCGATTTCACCACGACCGCTGGTCCATATACGAGTACAGCAATCGGCAGGTCAGCATGAAGTGCGTGCTGAAGCACCTTGCCAATGATAGGTCTCGAACATTTCTCCACGACGGAATCGCGGAATGTCTGCATCTTGCCACACTTTTGTCAGCCCTTACCGCGGATATCTGGCAATCATGGTCTGAGCACCTGGGCCGCCACGCGTTTCCAGGAGCACAATGGCTGCTCTTCAATTCTTGCTTGCTGATGGGCAGCTATGTCAAGCAACATGCAGGTGTATCATGCCATGTGTATCTGACTTTTTTGAAGCACTGGTGCACAGTAGTCAGTGCGACTTCACAGCTGATTCTCTACGAGGAATTTCGAGGCCGAGCAGCTTTTGGGAAGAATCTGCTGTGAGCGGAAGAGGGCCAAGACGTCCAAGTTTGTAAAGCCATGGAGCTGCAGGGTGTAGCCGTGGCCTAGCACGCAACTCTCCAGATTAGCTCTCCCAGCTTTAGACTCAAAGTTTCGGGTTTAGGGTTTAGGGTTTAGGGATCAGGGTTTGGGGTTTAGGGTTTAGGGCAGCTTTAACGAGGGATGACTGCCGAAAAGGCTCGAAGCAGCATCTGGGCCTTGGGAAATACACACAGGGCAGGAGCTGCCTTCACTACTAATTGCTTCAGAATCCCCAAAACATAAAAGTATTCGTCCTTATAAGGGTCATATGGGGAATATTCTTTAAATTCTTTTGGGGTTCTTCAGCAAATAGTAGTTCAAGAGTAGACACATGAACCGCCGCCCACAACGGCACTCTCAGGACATGGCCATTGCTTCGAGCCCGATGCTGTCCTGCATTGTCAAGTTTTTGCGGTGCTTTGGAGCAACTCTCCCAGGCAGCAGAAGACAAGGATCTTCTAAGGTGCAACCACAGGGCAAGAAGATCTTGTATATGTTATATTATGTTGTTTGCTGTCTCGGATCTAAAACCAGCGCGTCCTGGCCGATGGAGATTGCGGCAGTTTTGATCTGCGCAGCAGACGTTGACACTTGACGGGCTTTCGGGTTTGGGGCGGGAGCAGACTGGCCCTCATGACATTCGCAGGCACCTTCAAATAGCATGGACAAGCAGACCATTTGTACTCAAACTTCTCAGAAATCCCCGAAAAATCGGTGAAAGCCTCTCAAAGCCTCTGCCTGCCTTCCCAGTCTGCAAGAAGTGCTCGGCAGAGCGCAACGCGTCGAACTCACGCCCGAGGACGTGGATCCGAAGGAGGTCCACCTACGAACATTGCCCCTGGCTCTTTGCAGGGAATGGGTTTAGGGTTCAGGGGTCAGGGTTTAGGGTTTATGCAATCGGTCATGCGGACGGTTTAGCGTGGAGGAATTAGGGCCCTATTCATACCTTAGAAGGGATTGTACAGGGTACCTCATTCCCTCATTCCCTCATTAAGAACAGCCATACTAGTGAGACTGTTTTTTTCGAATCGCATAAAGGGGCTCTTATAAAAACCCTCTTTGCATCAAAAGAGGATTTTTATAAAAACCCTCTTTGCATCAAAAAAGGGATTTTTTTTTCTTGAATGCTTGGCGGGTTGGTTCCCGTTGTCAGAGCTTGGGGTTCCAGGGCTCCAGGAGTAGACCCGGCATCGTGCGTTGTGTGTTCGAAAGCGTGACCGAAGGCGATTGAAATTTTGAAAGTGTTGTCGATGGGTTTAGGGTTTAGGGTTTAGGGTTTAGGGTTTAGGGTTTAGGGTTTAGGGTGCGGAGCTGCAGTTGGTATTGTAGAAAGGAGTTGGTGTTGAAAGTTGAAGGGTCAATGTACCTGTTGATCTTCATGGCTCAAGACTGGGCCATGCGCCTGGTAGCAAAAAGAAGTTTTGAGTTCCTGTTGTTTGCTGGTTGGTTCAGGGTGAAATCTTTGGCGACTGTTGGGGTTGGTTTCCTCTCCCTTTCGGTTGCCCCCGTAGGTTATGAGCCCAAATTAGGTTCCCTGCGGTCTGTGTTTCGGCTTTAGGGTGATAGTTGAAGCCATGGCGACCAACTGGTTACGGACTGGTACGGCATCATCGAGTTCCAATGTGGACGATCAAGGTGAAGGTGGTGTCAAAAGGTCTGCAACGGGTGAAAAAGTTGTTCCCAATGTGGAAGCTCTGGTTGATGCTGGTGGTATGCGTGGCGGAGAGAAGCCGGTGGTGGAAGGACTGGAAGACCAGATGGAAGCAGTTTTGCTGCGCCTTCTGAGTAAACATGGGCTTTGTCTTCGAGCTGCGGGACCTGCTGAATCAACGGGAGCGCCAACAACAAGCTCCTCTACGTCAAAGATGGTGGAGCAAGGGTGCCAGACAGAGCTGGTTGGGGATGTTATCCCTGTTTCCAAGCGAGCTCGCAACAAAGTGAGCTCCGCGGCTGAAAGTGGTGATCTGTTGACAGGTGAAGCGGAAGAAACTGCGCCTGTTGCTGCGACAAAAAGCAGTATCCTCGTCGTTGGGGACGCAGAAGGAGTCGTTCCTGTTGCTATGGTGATGAGTGAAGGAGAAATCCTGGAATTGGAGGCAGCGAGAATACAGCAGGAGTCAGATGAGGACTTATACGCTGATGGTGGAGGCAAATTGTCTCAAGCTGCTGACCTTCCAATCATCGACTGTGATGGGAAGACATGGGAACGCCATTTTCACGAGGATGGGAGAGAATATCTTTACTGCTTAGACGCGGGAGATACCCAATGGGTGTTGCCTAAGAAGACTGGGATGGCTGGAAACAGTGAAGGGTCTGGTGTTGGAATGGGCATTGTCCCTGTGGAAGAAGAGCCAGCACTGGGTACTACTTCGTCCTCGTCGCCTACTGAGTCTTTCAGGGCACAACAGGGTAGCGTGGAAAGTGTCAACAGCGGTGTAAATAGTGTAGGTGAAAAGGATTTTTCCTCTACTATCAGGGATAGCGGTCTTAGGGCTGGTGGTGACGCCCCGACCTCGGGTTCTCCTGATGAGGAAGGGATTTCTGGAAGCCGAGCAGACATCGCTGGAGAACATCTGGATCGGGAAGAAATGGAAGTGCTTTCTGAGGGTGTGGCAGCGGTGGAATCGGTGGGTCCAGAGGAAAAAATGCCCAATGCGGAGATTGGAACTGTGTCGGCTGCAGAAGAGAGAGTGGTGGATGTGGTACCTGTCGGTCAGGAAGGTGATCCTGGAGATTTGGAGGACGGAGGGAAAAAGTTGTGCGTTACGACTGAGGAGGTCTCTTCGTTTGGTGCCAAGAATCTTGCCATTCAGGGAGAAAAAGAAGCTTCTGGAATAGCTGGAGACACGGAAGATCTGAAAGATGAGGCCTGGAGCGCCAATGATGCGCGGGTCAATGCGCCAGATAGTACCTGGAGTGCGAAAGAGGCACGGGTTGAGGTGCGTATGGTGTCACGTTCCACGGACGACTGCAACAATGGGGCGCAGGCTCCGTAGCAGCTGACGACGGAGGTTCACAGGTGGACGCACTGGTGCAACCTGAAGTTAGCAGCGAGGAACGAAATAGCAAGGGCTACACCGGAGCCGATGAGGCAGCTGTGGTCAATGATGGTGGCAATTCTCCTTTGGAAACCATGGAGCCAAAGGAGCCTGCGGTGGAAGAAAATGTACCTGCCGCGGATGAGCAATCCAATAGCCCTGCAGTGGAAGAAAATTTGCCTGCTGCAGAAGGTGTGACAAAAGACTCCAATGATGGGTCCGCTCCCATGAAGGGGGAAGTATTGCCGTCTGGAAGCTCGCCGGAAGTCGACACCGAGCGAACTGCAACAGATGAGGCAAAGCCATTGGCTGGAAAAAAGGAAGGCCCTGAGCCCCTGGAGCACAAGGTGGATGATCTTGTGGGACTCGTGCAGGAGCAGGACGAGCAGTGTGACCCAAAGGTGGAAACAAAGGATGTTTCAGGAGCCGATGATACAGAGATGGTTTCTGAAGAGCACGCAAAGAAAGTGCCCAGAGCGGGAGCCTTGGATACACCTGGGGAGCATTGCTATCAAGAGGGAGATCAGATCGTTGGTCTAGTGCGCTGCATCAATGGGCATGGAGCCTTTTTGGACCATGGCGATGTGAATGTGTTGATTCCTGCAGAAGGGAAGAATACACATCTATTCAAATTTGGTGACACTGTCAATGGAACAGTGAAAAGGGTGGAAGATGATGGTACCGTGATCTTGGACACCTTCCTGGTTTTGGAAGAGGACGAGGAGGACTCTTCTTCGACGCTGCGCAAATGGAAAGACAGCGGCTGGAGTACGTGGTGGACAGATTCATGGTATGCTGGTCAATGGTACCAAAGTTCCGACAGTCAATGGGACTGGAAATGGGAGGAAGAGCAATCCGATGAATGGTTTGCTGATCAGGAGTTATCCTCAGAAGAACAAGAGGAAAGGCAACTCTATGGAGAAAAGATCTATAGAGCTCTTCTTGAGGATGGAAAGGCTGATAAGGCCTATGTGGGCAAAATCACTGGGATGCTGTTGGGTCGTACAATGGATGAGATACAGGAGTGTGTTGCAGACCATGCATTCCTGGATGCGGAAGCTCGGCGTGCGTGTGGCGTCTTGCAAAGTGATGGTTGGAAGCCCGATGGTGCAGAAGGCGCAGGCTTGGGAAAGACAACCACCTTTTCCCGAAAACAGTACCACAACGCGCTCTACGAACTGGCATGTAGGAAAAGGAGATTTAGTCGACCAGTTGTGGGTGAAGCGGTGGCAACGTTGCTGAGTCAAGGCAAAGATGAACTTTGGAACGCGCTTTGGCTGGACACCAAGCGATTTTTGCAGGAGCTTGATGGTGCAGTGGAATCCATGAGTAAAAGGGAGAACAAGCCAATGGAAGCCTACATGGATCCCGATCAGTACAAGAAAGCTCACCTGACGCCAAAAACTGTGTTGCCGGGGTACAGTAAACTGTGCAAGTTTTTCAATCAGGGAAGGTGTCGCAATGGAGATGAGTGTTCCTATGAACATCGTCGTTATGGTGAAGGTTGGCCAGGAGGAGGACCAACTGAGCCAAAGAACAGCCAAAAAGCTGGAGACGAGGATGGGGACATTGGTGACCCTCCTACGGAAGAAGGCACAGTGGATGAGGCACAGCAGGAGCGGGAGGATTCAGCTTTCAGAGCCAAGTACAACTTTGGTAAAGGTGCATCAAAGGGTGAGTCGGTGTCAGTCGAGCCAAAGAGGCAAATGTGTCTGTATTACAACCAAGGAGAAGGTTGTAAATATGGAAATTCCTGCAGATACTCGCACGATGAAAAAGCGGTTTTGGAAGGGACTTGGGAGCCCGGCAGATCCTGGGACAATGCGTCTCGGAAGGCCCTAAAGGAAGCAGGGTTCCATCATTGCTGCTTCGACTACTACATCAAAGGGAGGTGTCGCGTGCGATATGGTTGCAAGTATTCTCACGAAGAAATGTCTGAAGAACGACTGGCCCGGTTGAGGCATCTGGTGAATGTGGCGAACCATGTTTCATTTCAAAGGGGAAGAGGATTGGAGATTCCCGACAGGAACGCCTTTCAACCACCGGTAAGTGGGGGAGCAGAATCTTCGTCATCCTCGGCACCAAAAGCGCTGCAAATGACCAATGTGTCACAGAAAACAGGTGAAGGTGATACACTGGATGGAACAGATGGAGAGGTACAAAAGGATTCGGTGGCAGAGTCTACCGCGGTACGTCTTCAGGATCCTGAAGAGCCAATAGAACATTGGATGGCTCGCAACAACCACTTGTGGGTGTATACACCTCACGTAAGTGATGTTATGATCAAGCTGGGTGTAACCAACGTCAAAGAGCTACAAGAGTATATCTTTGTGGAGGATTTGGTGGAAAAGGAGTTAACAAGGTGACGGCCTGCAAAATTCTGCAATTGGTGGGTGGTGTTCAGTACCGGCCAATGTCGCCGGATGTGGCTGTTTCTACCAACGCGTCGGTACGCAGGGAGCAATCTTCTGGAAGCCGAGAAGCTGGAAGAGATGGGGTGAGAACTATCTCTCAGGTGCGTGAAGCTGAAGGTCCTGGTACAAAGGAGATGCCGCGAGGGTCTTATCGAGAGATTTTCGACACCGGCAAGTACCGTGACGCATGGACGCTTGCGCAGAGATCCCCGCTGTGCGTGCAGAGGTTGCGATTGGTGGGAGTTGGAATGCCACCGGTGAACCCGCCAACAAAGGCGTATCGGTCAAGATCAAACCTTGTGAAAAGGGGAAGGCCCTTGCTGGATAAAAAACAGGTGCGACAGGTGCCACGCTCTCGCTCACAACGGCGA